GATAGACAGGTAGACAGCTAGACAGATAGACAGATGAAAGAGAGAGAGAGAGAGATAGATAGATAGATAGATAGTTAGATAGATAGATAGATTCATAGGTAGATAGGTAGATAGGTAGATAGGTAGATAGGTAGTTAGATGAAAGAGAGAAAGAGGGAGAGAGATAGCTAGATAGATAGATAGATAGATAGATACATTGGATAGGTAGGTAGATAGTCAGAGAAAGAGAGAGACAGAGAGGAGACCTCAAGCACCTTTTGGTTCATCAGTGGATTCGCTTTGCCATCCCTGATTCACAACAACCAACCTCTCCTATAGGTTTCCTATTTTTGAAACTTCCGCCACCGCCTTGTGCGGTACTACTGGTATACTTGAAATATCACCCTTTTCCCATAAGTGACTTGAAAAATCAGGTGTCAATGAACCATTGGCCATTTTCATCGACCATAATGGGCCGGAATGAGCTCAAAAAGTTTGCAACGTGTGCATGTTTGGCACTCTGTGAGCCACGGGATTTGACTCCAAAGAGTTAAGCAAACAGTTTTAATATGTTTTATTTACCACCCACAACTGGATCCCAAATGGTAGAGCGACCACATTATATTGAATGTCCTGGGCAAAGATTGCCGTTTGCAATCCATTCGAAGCTTGTGTGAGAGAGGTCCGAGGCCAGACCCTGAACAGAAATGTCGGACTTTAAACCCTTAGACTGGCCCACATTGCAACCCGATCTAGTGGTCCAGTCGTATTCCTAACTCTTCCCTAAATTTTCGCCATCCCCCACCCTGAAAAACCACTCCCACTGGGCATCACCACAGGGAATCGGCTCAGCTCCAAAAAGAAGAACTTCTTGGCGATCTCCGAGAAAAAGTCGCTGCCGCTACGCCGCGGCTGCTCACTGTCCCAGTCCTAGGATTAGGACGCTGCGAAGAATGATGGGCAAAGTGGGGGAGTTCGGGGATGCCAACAATAGGAATAAGCCTTCCCCAACGTGGCTTCTTTTGGGGACATACTCACTTTCTTGGGACGAATTTGCTGCCCCCAACCAAATGGTTGAACAGTTTGGATTGTTTACGGCTGTTTTTTCCGGTGGATTGCTCGATTACAAAATGATCCCAACATGTGTCGACAACAAGCACAGCAAAAAAAACAATGAAATCAACACCTCACATCACATCATGGCTGCGCACCCGACAACGGGGATGCAAATTTGGTGCAAAGGTGTAGGCGCCCCATGGTGCTCCCCATGGAACAGAGATTCCAAGCTTCAGGGTTACATCTCCAACTCTCCCTGTGAGGATTGAGGAGGATCAAGGAGGATCCTACTTAAGAACTGGTTAGTAAGCTACAATCAATGGGAATTCCAAGATCCTAAAATGAAGGTACGTTAGTACCATATGTTTGGCCATATTTTGTGGGGATATTCCCTTACATAGGCCTGAAAAATAAGCCTTCTATATGGTAGGTACCTCCAATAAATCGGTTCCTGAGATGGCCATTGATACAAGCCACTTGTAGATGGGATAACCCTAGCTATGGGGACGTCCCTAACCAGGCCAAGGGTAACTGACCAGTTACGATTCGTGGATGGTCCTCCAAGCATATCCTGGTCTCCCCCAATGATCCCCACGCGTTTTCTGGGCGAAGATGCCACCCAGAAGTTCTGAAAGTCAACCTCAGTGGCCCCAAAAAAAGCAGCAACTGAGCACCAATGATCAGTCTATACCAGAGAAGTCCAGAAAAAGACCCACATGTCATGTCTTCACCTGTTTTTGGACACTTTTCAAGCCTCCCCTATTCTTGATGGTGATTGATGATCTCCCTTCCTATTCTTCATCTCTGTTCTTTTGATGGCAGTTGATTATGAGTTTCCCCCCAATGCCGAATGCTGTTTCAACTTCCAGTCTCTTCACCCTCCCAGACTTGGTTTAAGAGAAACTTTGCAGGAGCCCCCCTGTATTTTGGATATGTTTAAATCCAACGTTTCCTGGTTAAGATTTTAAAAGCAAAGTTGGAAACCTGGGGGTAAATACCATCCATATCATCCTGGAAACATGTTTCCATCTTTTTCGGGGATTACCCTCTGGTTATTTAACATAGCCATGGAAAATGGCCCATTTATAGGTGGTTTACCTATTAAAAATAGTGATTTTCCATAGCTATGTTAAATTACCAGAGGGATTACCATAAGATTTCCCGAAACAAAACAACAAAACCAAGCCATAGGCACCTGCACTTCATCCTCGGACAGCGTCGAGATGGTCCCCGAGGAATTCAGCCAACCACGCCAGAAGGGTCCCTCGAAGCGCACGAAGGACGAGATCTCTGGGCTAGCAGCAGCGGATGGGGCGATGTCATAGTAGACGTCAAACTTGGTGAAGCCTAACGATCCTGGGAGGGATTTTTTGGAGCTTGTTTTTGCCCCTTGTTCCTGTTGGATGTGTTTTCAGCCGCACGTCTTTTTTTTTTACGTGCACAAACAGGGGAAAAGGCGGACAACACTTCAAAACACGAGAAAAACAGAGAAAATCCACCAAACATTGCGGAGAGCAAAAAACCAAAGGACTGACCAAACCATCCAAACCTCACCAACATAAGATACATAAGCCCAAGGCAAGTTGCCCAGGGTTCGAATGTGCGGGGCATAACTCACCCGCCACAGCCCGGCCCATTGAGCAGGAGGCCCTGCAGGGACTCCAGTGGTCACCAGCTGCACCTCCTGGAGCACTTCGTCTCCAGCTTCAAATGCTGGATAAGAGACCTGGGGCCCCTTTTTTCGTCAGCGAAGTTGGTGCAAACAACTCCAGGAAAATAATTTGATAGCCATGGAAAATCACCATTTTCATAGGTAAACCATCTTTAAATGGGTGGGTTATGGGGGTTACCATCTGGTTATGACTAACATAGCCATGGAAAATCACCATTTTTAATAGGTAAACCATCTATAAATGGGCCATTTTCCATGGCTATGTTAAATAACCAGATGGTAATTTGGGTTGTGGGGGTTTATCGAACCAGTTCATGGCAGTTCATAAGGCTTAAAAAACAAACGGAAAAAACCCTGTGCAGGGCTCTCCTACGTCACAATTCATGCACTTCTTTGCTGGAATATGATGGACTAGGCGTGTGCTGGATGAGTGGTGGTGAAGTGAAATTCCAATTTTAGGGATGGATAGCTGGGAAATGTCAGCATTGGCAGTTCTGTTTGGTGAAGTCTTCCTTGTTACCAAACATGTCCGTTTAATATTGCTTCGATGCCTCACAATCTGTGCGGCCGTCTCTTTCTGCATTGCCCTTATCTATCAATTGGACCTTTCCCGACTAATCACCGAGATTAACTATATAAGAAAATAATGAAGGTCATTGAAAATGAACCCAGCATACAACCCCAATAGCAAAGTGTTGCGCTTAGTGCTCCCAGTTTACCAATGATATCGACAACAGTATTGCTCAGCAGTAAATCCTTCACCCGGACCCAAGCATGTGAAACCCGACCAAAACACGACACATTGCAACGAACCCAAACAGCATCTGTTAAGTGGTGTAGCGAATATATAGGGATCATTCATCGAAATGGTTGCCTGCAAACTTAAACTTATCATTTTGTTTACTTCAAAATCCATCAAAACATATCAAAAGACGTGTTTGGTGAAACCCGACCCCTCAATCCCAAATCCCAATGACCTTCCAAAGGTCTGAGTTCTCTTTCAATCGCTTGGCCGCCGCCCGCGCCACACGTCGTGGCACCCAGCCGCCCGCAGCAACCGCCACCAGAGCCAGCCAGGCGCGACGCGACGGCTGCGGCCCTTGGGGCAGGGCATGAAGAGACCCGCTGCGCCCAGGGGCTGCAGGATGGGCTGTGGAGTGAACTTTGGCACCGCACAGCATGGCTGAGTTTGTCTGAAAATAGCCCCAAAATGGCTGTTGAATTAAGGAAAATGATGATAGACCATGGATCCATAGGATTTTGGAATGCCATATTTTCAAACAAACCCAAGAAATCGATAATGATTCAAGAATGTTTTTTTATGGTGATTAATGGTGATTTTCACCATAATTAGTGCTAAGAAATCCATTCAAGAGCCTGGAAATGGCAGCGTGGATGAGACTCACAAAAAAGGTGTCGATATACGGGGGGGATCTCGACAGGGCTACAAAGTCATCAAAGCCTTGGTACTCGCACAGAGAACCGTAGTCGTAGCACGTTCAGATTTTGCAAAGTATCTCTATCTATGCTGTTGGCATCTGTTGGCTAAACAAACATTGCACAAGTACTGTATGTGAATTGTTGATCACAAGTTACAATTTACAATTATGCACGATATCCCCTCTAAACGTTGCTTCTCCAACCCCCCCCATTTAAAAAAAAACTGGACAGCGATACAGTTCTGAGTCATCCACCGCATAGCCTATCACTTGTGCTTCTGAGAACGTCTCACCGCCCATCAGAACAAAGTACAGTACCTGAACACCCCATGGGTCGGGGATGTTTTACATGCCCTTTGGGCCCACCTATGCCAAATCTACAAAGCATAGTTGGATATAGAATACTATATGTATACTATATGATATGCATATAATATATGTGTGTATATATGTATGCAATATATATATATATGTGTGTGTATATGTCAGTGTATATGTGAGTGTGTGTGTGTGTGTATAGGTGTGCGTGCGCGTAACATAGATACATGCTGATGACATAGACGTAGATCTCCACTAGCAAGTGCATTCTCACACCGTCTCGTCATGTTGTCTTGCAGCATTTGGGCCATCGAAGACCATAAAGATCCATTGCATCAAACACCCAAATTTGACCATATGTAGAACAAAAGAACGATGCGCACGGTCAAGTTCTACAACATATGACCCCTCCCCCAAAAAAAGATCACAATATCATTCGAGTCGACTCTGTCAACGACCAAACTGACCAAACTTGGTGTATCACCGGCGTTACAAAGCCCACACCCCCAAAGATCCAAAGATCTTGGCCCTTCTGAGGCTCACAATCATGAGGTCATGGAACACGGCCAGAACGGCCACAGTCACCGGTGACTTCAGTAACTGGATCAGTTGCATCTGAAGCCTCCGTTTGACCGTTTTTCTTGGGTGGAGGTTGCTGTCCCTAGAAAACCATCTGATCCTATTTGGGAGGTAATCCTCCACATCACCTGAGATTCTTTAGATGTCTGTGTTTCTATCTCCTTTGAAACCATTGATTCTTGGACGTTCTTTCTTGTGTCCTTTCCAAGCGCAAAGGGAAACGTGCTGGGCACGGACCATATTTCCAATGTTATTTGCCCTGCCCTGGGTGATAATATCTCAAATGCAAAAGTAACAGTTCACCTTAGTAAGTGACGAATGGCGAATGATTCACCACATGAAACCAACCAGGCTGTTAAGCCCGCATCCAATGGTTATTTTTTGGGGGTTTCTCACCTTATAGCCGCCAGGGCCTAACCAGCCCCCCATGATTGACGAACCGTTCGAGGAATTGGCGAGATCTATAAGTAAAGCGTAAGATTAAGCTAGTGCACCCATGAAAAATCGGGGCAACCCATAGAAAATAGAGTCCATCCCATACTATTTTCTATGGCATATATATCTATATATATCATCCCACTGCGGAATTTATGATATAGCCTATTTTTTTAGAACATAAAGTCCATAATGTTCAGAATATGCTTATTTTGCGTACGTGTCTAAACATTACCCTCTCATAAAGTAGCATAGATCCTGGCAGATAGGGGTTGGAAGATTAGTTTCAACTAAACAATGACTATTTTGTTTGATCTATGTTAATTTACCAGAGGGTACAGGATGGTCCCCCCAGTTATAAGTTTATCTATAATCCCCTTTAATTAGCCTCCCATCAACCCTAGTTATAAGTACTTATAGTTACACCTTTACCAATAGTTTATTAATCCCAGTTTATCTATAGTTATAAGTACTTATACCTCCCATCAACCCTAGTTAGGCCCTAGTGACTGGACTTATAAACCAACTTCGCCAACGAACTGGGGCCCCATCAGACAGTAAGAATCCCATAAGAATCAAATGAATTCCATATAATTTTGACATATACTTGACATATACATAATCATATACCCTCTGGTGAACTAACATAACTATGGAAAATCACCATGTTTAATGGGAAAATCAACGAACTAAATGGATAATCATATAACCTTGGTATCCACAAAAAAGAGTGTCCTGGAAGGGTCTGGTAAGTTACCCTTTACCTCACATTCAGTTTCTGATCCCGTGTCAAGATGATGTTCCAGAATCCCATCCCCCATCTTCACTAAGCAACACCAGTATGGGCGTGGCCGCCACCGCCACCGCCACAGCCAGACCCATGGGCGGCAGGCTCCAGTTGTTTGGCCCCAAGGGCACTAGGGCCAGGCCTGGCGTGAAATGCAATGAGTTTGGAAAAGTGTGGAAATATATACCTGTATGTGATGATGTAGTGTGATGTGATGTGATGTGATGTGATGTGATGTAATGTGATGTGATGTGATGTAATGTGATGTGATGTGATGTGATGTCATGTGATGTGATGTAATGTGATGTGATGTGATGTGATGTGTGATGTGTGATGTGTTGCAATGTGATGTGATGTGATGTGATGTGATGTGATGTGATGTGATGTGATGCAATGTAATGTAATGTAGTGCAATGCAATGTGATGTAATGTAATGTCATGCAATGTAATGTAATGTAACTGGTATGGCATGGCATGGCACATGGCATGGCATGGCATGGTATGGTATGGCATGGTATGTAGGCATGCACAAGTATGTACAAGCATGTAAAATGTATAACACAAATATGTATATATATATATATATGCATATGTATATGTGATTGCATATGTATGTATATAATATATTGATATGTGATGTTGCGACGAGTTGTACAGAAACGCCATGACACCCTTTGCCATGGCCTAGTGTGAAAAAGCCAGGACGCTTCTTGATTCAACCAAGCCAAGGTCAATTCCAGAAACGTCAAAACATAGACAAACCCCCTGTGGATGGTTGCGAAATTCTGCACCAGTTGGCAACTATTGGCAACATAATTCAGCACTGTGTATAATCAGTGGTCATTTCAGGAACCTAAATTGGAGGTACCTACCATATATAAGGCTTATGTAATGCCTATGTAAGGGGATATCCCCACAAAATATGGCCTTGTTTGGTACTAACGTACCTCCATTTTAGGATCCTGAAATTCCCATTGATATAATGGGATTACAATGGGACAAACCATCTACCAACAGGCGCAGAATTTCGCAGAATTTCGCAACCATCCCCCAGCTCCCAATCCCAACACATGTCGGCGGGCTCATGAGGCCAATGACCTCAATATATTTAGAAGGTTGGACTTGATCTTGAAGGTCTTGGATTGGATGATTTGGGAACCACAAGAAGTCAAAATCAGTTCAATGAATAAATAAATAGATAAATAAATACATACATAATAAATACATACACACACATATATACATATATGTATATATATATATACCGATTTGATTCCCTAGTTCTGGTCGATTTACCAGAGGTAGAATGAAAAAATCTCCTCAAAAGACACACCAACCAGGGTGCAAATAGCACATGAGATAAAGGATAGTAACTCGACAAAAAGTATTCTGGCGTCTTTGGTCTAGTCTATTTCCACCCTCATCAGTGGGATCCTATGACCCTAGCCTTCCCGGCATGGATGCACATGCCGTCTTGAAAGTCACCCCTGATCTGACTCCAACTGTGTGGTTTACAAGTGGCCAGTGCCACGGTCCGATTCCTTTCCCAAAGACTAAACCAAACTTGCGCACTGGATCCCTCCTCCTGACTTTGCCGAGCTTAATGCCATGCTTGGTGAATGTAAAAAACGGCTGAAAATGCTCTGATGGAGACATTGGGCTTCTCGCTGTGCTCCAATCAAAAGGATTCGGCTGGGAATGGTGACTTCACTGCCCAGTTCGCGACAATTCGACAAAACAGGTGGACAAGGCTTCGGGCGTTTTTCGATTTGCTTTGCAAATTGCCTCCCTCGACCTTTGGGATGCTATCCTGTTGAGCTCTGGTTTCCCCCCTTCCTTTACTCGCCCTTTGTCTAGTAGATTCCCACCTGTTGGTGCGCTAACCTTTCCCTTTTGTTGAGGAACTCCTGCATGTCACACATGCAGCTGCTAACAAAGTTGCTATGGAATGTTGGAATGTTGGAGTCATGGAATGCTGCTGGGTCCATCGCTCCTCTGCGCCACTTTGAAGGAGTTTTTGACAATGGTCGGGCTTCAAAGTGAAGCCTGTCATATGTGCACGTGAAAATCTCTTGTTCCAATATATCACTAAATTCACACTGGTAGAAGTAGATCACAGCCTCGATCCCTAAAGTCTGAATGCTTTTTCGACTGGCCTGTCTGCAGCCTGGATCTGTAGGCCGCATCTACAATCCAGGGATTCTTCAAGTCTTGGCTGTCTCAAAGGCGAAAGATAGAATATATCTACATAATATATATATATATGTGTGTGTGTGCCTACAGCCTCCAAACTCTTTTTTTGGGTGGTGGTTGAAATAGCCCGGTTTTTTTCAGCAAGGCATTTGGTTACGGGAAATTACGACTAAATTACAGGAAATTATTGCAAATTACGGGCAAACTACGGGTAGAAATTTGGAAAACTATGTGTTTCTAAAAATACAATGTTTTTCTTAAAATCTTGGGAAAAAGATGTTGTTCGATTTCAACCCCAAAAAAAGTGGGTTAAGGGCGCCATGGGTGTATATATATATATTATATGTATATATGTATTTATTTACTTATTTATTTGTTTAAACGTGGTTAGAAAAATCCACAAAACAAACAATACAAAAATCAAATGATGATCACAATTTAAAAATGCAAAAAGCAAATAAGGACCATATTCTAGATATATTCCGAAATAGATTGCGCAAACCCATCGCCCATGTATGAAATGCATACTCTTCAATTGCATGGGTCCTTTTCTTATTATATGATATTATATCTACTGCAATGGGTCTTGGCAATCACTGGGCAATTTTGCTGGTGCGGGCACGGCCAGCCATGTGGTTTCTCTTGGGCAAAGCGTTTTGGTTTTTCCGTGGCACCATGCCTTTGACATGCTGAGATTCACCTTGGCGGCAGTGATGCATCTCCTGGCACATCTCTCGGGTAATCGGCAGACCTTTTCTTGTCCACAGCACCACGTCTGGAGCCGACAAGATTTGGTGCTCTTCTCCAAAGGGCACCATTTTGGCACAGTGGCCACAGTGTTGACAGTGGTCAACACATTGCTACCACGAACACTCACATCACCAATGAGGTTCCAATGTGAGTGCCACGTGCGTCACGGTCTCGTGGTCCAAAGTTTGATAATATGTGGGCCTTTCGGATCATGGCGTGGGTTCTCCAAAAACACAATGCTTCATCGATCCGACTGCCATGACCTATCATCTACAGCTGTAAGTGGAGTGTCCCTTCGCCACGTTTGGGAAACAGCCTCACAAAATTGCAGTTCAGCCATCTACCCGCGCTTTGCAGAGTGAAGCTGAAACCCGGGGCATCGTGCACCATCGCTTCCGGGATGCACATGCTTATCATCTGGGTAAAGGTTGGTATTCCCCATCTAAAATCAAGCTATGTTGATGGGATTCCCAGCGCAATCAATTAGCGGGGCGAGTTCTGAGATTACACTACTTCACCCAGAATATGCTTATTTGTAAAATTTCGGCAAGCACGCCAGGATGAATGAATCAATTGATGATCGATCCCTGTTCTCTTCTGGTTACCCCAGCAAATCCACTTGAGTCAACAACAAACAATGAAACATGCTGAGGGATCTGCTGTTAGGCCCTGTCTGGCCTCTACACATTTGATGGCTTTGGTAAACTGCTAACTGACATTTTCAGGGTGCATTGGATGGACCGTGAAGAAAAAATGCACATGCTAAAAAGAGCGCTCCTACCGCCTGCGAATGACATTGACTGACACTCCCAGCAAGGTAGCTCAGCTGCTCATCTTTGGAGTTAATTCCATGAAGTCAGGGACTGATGTGTTCCCAACATTCACACAGCATCTATCATATCTAGCATCGCAACCTCCCTAAGATTAGCCCAGCAAATGCACGTGAGTAACAAACATCCTCTTATAAAGAACGAAACATGCTGAAGAATCTCCTGGGGCGGCTCCTGATGGCCTTGGTAAACTGCTAACTGACATTTTCCGGGTGCATTGGCTGGATCCTGGAGGCAAAAAATGCTCCACGCAGATCCTGCGACAAAGAATTCCAGCAAAAAATCTGTGCGCAGCTGGGCATGATCACATGCAACCGTCGGAGGATTCGTGCGTTCCCCAGCAATTCACATTGCTTCTCTTCAGTCCAATGTCGAGCTCTGATTTCAGATCTCCATTGTCCTGAAAGTTTCAGCAAAATGGACTCGATTGTGGGCCTCAAATGAGGGCGCTGAGCGTTCCTCGCGTTCCTCCGGGTCTTGAACAGGGACTGAGAGCCGCACCTCTTCGACCCCCTTTTCTGGCTCCTCTTCGACATTGGCATTCCGGCTGTGATCTGCTATCGAGCTATTGAACATGTCGCCACCCTTGTCATCCGAGTTGGTGCGATCCGATCGAGCCGTGGAGCTGGAGATACGGTTTCGGCTGTCCCTCTCACTGGTGTAAGTGGACAATGAGACCGATGAGATGCGCATCTGGTTCAGTAAGCGCATACGTTGGTCATTGTCAAAGTATGGTGCCACGGTGGTCAACACGTTGGCCAACATCCTTCGGTCGTAGACGTTGAATTCATCAATGGTTTGGACCAAGAATTCGACGTCCACCTGAAATGCCACAGTTCCATACCGTTCCATGGAACATGTCCATGGTCAATTACATGAAAATCAATAAAGATCAAGCCCCGAAACGCATGTCCTCGGAAACCAATTCCATAGTCCCATGCAATGCATTTGGTCCTTTGGTCGTCATCCAAGCCTCCTCAATTGCCTCGCATAGGGCACTCAACCCTTGAAGCAGGGCAGTGGTTGATGGAGGTTTGCCAAGCGTCAAAACGGCCAGTTCATCATGACTTCCCATGGCAGCGCGGTGAAAGAAGGCAGTCAAGACCATAACCAGCAAAATAAACGTCACTGAGTAGAGACTTGCAAGGAGCACGCCTGGGCATGGCGTCAGGGCTGGAAGGCCATGGCTCTTCGGAGCTGTGAATCAGCTAATGGTAGTGGCCCACATGTTCATCATCTTACTGTTCATGGAAGTCCTGCACCGCCTGCACCTACTATGGATCATGATCACCATAATCATCATAATCCCGGCCTGTTAGATGGCACCTACTATGGATGTACTATATGACCTACTATATGTTAATCATGTTACTGTTAGATGATGGTCATATATGGTCATGCATCGACAATATGTGGTACATCCATCGATTTTCAGGCCCGAAAGCCCACCTGCCAACGCCGAGTAGGCAGCTCGGACGTCTCCCTCCAAAGGATCAAGGAATGCCGAGGCAACTGACAGAAGCAAAATGAGTAGCATGCTCATAACCTTGGATTTTATTCGCGATGCTGGACAAGCAATTGTAGCTAATATAATATACGGTAAATATATATATACATAGAAACATTCAAAAAATGTCAGTGCTTCTTCGATGGACAACTACCCCGCTAACAATTTAGATGTCAATAAATTGTGATAAATTGTGAATTAGATCGGCTTTTCAACGAAATAAGCACCTTAAACAAACCGTAGTAGCTCCATCCGCGAAATTGATCAAGGGCGTTTTCCAAGGCCAAACCACCAGCCGGAGCACCATATAGACCTCCTGTGCTGCCGAAACAACTTACCCCGGATTGCCAGGAGATGGCACGAGTCCAAAGTCGGAAAGTTTTCTGCTTTCAGTTTGTCTGGACAAATCTTCTCTCATGTAACAAAAAGTTAAAAAGCAGGTGTCAAAAAATATGCTGGACTCTCTCAGCGGGGGATGTCAAAGATGTCAAATGCCAGAGTCAACCTCGTCAAATACATCAGAAAAAATGTCAGTATAATAGAGGTGCTTAGTCGTCAGATGTCAGGTTGAGCTAAACCATAATTAATGATCCTAAATTATCATAATGGTGTTCACCTAGTAAATTCACCCCGCCCATTCAACAACCACGCGTCATCCTTCAAAATTCGCAGCTTCAACGGCTTTTCCGAATGAATACTGTTACCATCGGTTGCCGGGAAACTTCAATACACCATGCATGCCTTATGTAAAAAATGTTCCACGATTCCACGGAAGGAATCCAAATGTTCCACGACATGCTTTCAACATGTTTCAACAGGAAATGAAGGGTATCGGCCCGTCGGGCCCTTCGGGCCCCTTCTCTGGACATGCTCGCGCACATTCACCTGTAATATCCTGTCCTTATGTTTTTAACAGATGCCCCAGATGGTTGTGAAAAAGTTTTGGGGGTGTTCACTATCATGTTCACTTCTTATTTTGGAGGTTTAGAATTTTAGATTGCCAAGATCTTCAACTGTCACAACCTTACTGGTGCTAAACGCAGGGAATTTTCGGGAATGATCCACCGGCTAACTATATTCATCCCAGCAACCCCCAGCAACCCATCCATTCCCTACGTTTCGCACCAGTAATACTAAGCAGCCGAGCCATCTTCCATATGCCGAGTCTCCAAGACCGCAGTCATCACGAAGAGTTGCACCTGTGGCAAATCCGTGAAGACGGCCATGGGGACGGCCAGCATCGGTCCGCGCAAGATCAAGCAGGTGCCATACCACCAATAGTCGGGGCGGAAACGAAAGAAGAGAAACCTGCAGTCTGGATTATGGCGATTTAATGGTGGAATAGTCTGGATTATGGTGATTTAATGGGGGAATAGTCTGGATTATGGTGATTTTATGGGGAAAGAAAACATGGAAATCCCCTGGAAAATGAAGGGGTTCATGCGAATCATGTGGGTAAAACAATGCCATTTTTACCACCCATGACAGGGAATGGTAAGCATATATACCACCTATTTATGGTGATCACAGGGTGATTGTTGATGACATTGTTTTCGCCACATTATTGCAATTCCACTGATGCCAGCCCCAACTTTTGAACTTCTGCTCCAGGTATCAGCTAGTTGCCTATCCATAGCAATATCACTGACAAGCTGACTCTGGGCATAGATGTGCTTATTGACCAGCGAAGGTCACCCCCCTTCATTTGCTCGCAAAATTGGAAAATGAATGACTGTAATGACCATGTTTCTCTGGCTACGACCATTTTCTAGAAATAGAACCCTCGCATGTCCTGGCGACAAGAAAATGGTAGGACCGCTCCTGCCTAGTCCCCGTTGATCCCAGCTATCTGACTGCCGTTAATTCTCAGGTCCAGGCACCACCCAAAGAAAGTGAAAAATCGAATTGTATTTCATGTTCGTGTATTTTGTCGATTTTTGTCGATTTACATTCATTTTATCATATTTTATCCTGTCCAGTTGTGCTTCACTTCGGCCATTCGTGCTTCATTGTGTCATAATTTTCTCTGCGTTTTCTTTGTGTATTTTCATGCTGTGCATATGGGCTGTTGGAAAATCGGGCACCCCCGGCGTCATCCCTAGAAAATGAAGTGCCAACAAGCCTGTTCCCTCATTTTCTAGACATGGGGTATGGGAAAATCTGTCGTTCAAACGGAAATAATGGCAAGGGCTGGCAGAAGTCCCGAACACCATCCCCAGAAAGCATGTAGTCGAATTGTGGTTCATCTATCTTCATTCTGTCCACTTGCTTCATCTTGTCCATTTGTGCTTCATTGCGTCCATTGGTGCTTACTTGTCTTCATTTTGCCTATTGGTGCTTAATTTCGTCCCTTGGTGCTTAGTTTTGTCTAATTCTCTCCATTTCTGCTCCATGTATCTTGGAAGTTTAGTCCATTCCTGTTTCATTCTGTCCATGCGTGCTTCATTTTGCCCACCAGATGGAAAAATTGCAGAAACACATGGCGATTGAAGCTGCAGGTCATTCAAAAATGGCGGCAGTAATTTAGAGGCAAAAGGAGATGAATATTTTCTAGGGCATTTGACCGTAATATGACAATTTTCCAGAGGAAAAAATCAGGGATCTTGAAGAAACCGGGCATGACATGGCCAAGAAACCGGCTGGTCTTGAAGAAAGTGCCATCATCATCTTTTGACTTCGCCGGGGCAATGCATGTGAGGAACAGCAAGAAAACCCAGTAGCTGCACATGACAGCCACCATGGACACCCCGAAGATCACCATGATGATGTGTTCTTCGGATTCCCAGCAAATCACATCACTCAGTTCCAGCACGCTCGACTTGCCGTTTGGATGAGTGTAACACATGAAGGGCAGCAAAGCCTCAGCAGATTGGAGGATGTTAAAATACACATTTCAATGTGTCAAATCTTTGGCATGATATTCCCACTGTTAAAAGTACAAATAGATCCCAATGTGTCAAATCTTTGGCATGATATTCCCACTGTTAAATGTACAAATAGATCCCGTTCGGGCCAGCGGACGGAAGTTACGGGACAAGGACTCATAAAAACAAAATCAGGTGGTCACAACAAACTCTTCGAAGGAACACGGTCTAAGTGAGAACCGCATGGTTTGAAACGCCAAAAGACTTCATAGGGCACCTGCCACCAACAAAACTGATAAGTCCAAATTTGACCAAATTTGCGTATATATGACTATCTAGGACCCACTACTGTAACTCAGGAGTCCACGAGCTCATCGACTCTTTAGCTCACCAACTCACAACTATGAAACAGCCCACTTCTTCAGAAACCGGCTCGGCCAGTCAAAGGCTCTTCAAGTCACCCGGTAGAATCCGGTAGGTATTTCATGCTGGAAATCTAATACTTTTCATATCTTAAAAAACTTTACTTCTCATGTCTTTCTTCTTGTGGGAGTAGTGAGGAATTCAGTTTTACTGAGATTTCTTCAGCCAAAAAGATGGTATGAAGTATTGCGCCCGTACGGATCTGTGCCTTCAAGGTCTCTCATTAAAGTTCCGTGTTTCGCGAGCCAGGTGGTGAACTCGTGAGGCCGTTGAGTTTTCTCTACAAATATATGTATGTATGAATGAATGAATGTATGTACGTACGTACGTACGTATGTGTATATATATATATATATGTTTATTTATTTATATTTATGTATATATAGATTTTTTATTTAAATATATATATATAAATATATTTATAATATATATATATATATATAACACAGAAGTCTCTTGTCCAAACTTCCTTTGATACTTCCATTCATCAATGATCAATCTGAAGAATCTTGCCATCTCATCTATAACTTCGGACAGCCCGCTACCTGGAAAAAATGGAAAGCAAGGGGCCGTTTTGGACATAATGGTGAAGCCGATTTGAAAGATCTGCCCGCCGGTGCTAAGAGCCTTGGCCCTTTCAAAGTGATACTTGAGAGGCAGAAGCCGGGAAATTGCTCCGCAAAGAGACAGCCAAAGCAAGGCTCCTGCGGATGATCATTGAGGACATGTGATGACCATGGCAAGGGCCTCCCTCTTCTCTCCCATTATGGAAGAAAGCTGGGTGATTTCACATGGGCCACCATGGTTTGGGTGGGCCCTCCAGCTCGGGATACCTTAGGAAGACCATCGATGATTCATAGTCATCAAGATCCATCAACATCTATCAGCGTTCATCAACATAACAATGTAGTAAACCTGTGAGCAAGACATGGTGTATAGATGTGTATATAGCATGCCCACATGGTAGAATTAGGTCTATGGTTCATCATGTCGTTTGCAACCTTCTTATTCGTCGCGATAACTTCAGAATGATCAGTCATCGCCACACCCTACCCGTGCCCCACGTGGCCAAAACATTAGCCAAGACCATACCATAGCCATAGCCAGCAGCATGCCAGCCAACATTAGCCAACCAATCTCCTGGCCAAAGAAGTACACTGTTGATGTAGGACATGAAAGGTTTGAAGCCCCAACAGCTCAAATTCAAAGCCCGCAAATCCAACATGAAAAGTGAAGCCTGGCGCTAGTCGGCGACCAGTCAGCTGGCTTTTTCGTGGGGGCATCTGGGAAAGGGAGGAACACTGGAACCCTGGAACCCTGACAATGGATGTCTAAGTCTTAGAAAAAGAATAGTTTCCCGCGTGCCAAATGGAGTGTCACCTTAAGATTCAGCGGATCTTAACATGAGCGCCTATGAGGAACTTGATCTGCAAGCAAACTGGATGTTTAAAACTGTACTGAGCAAACGGACTGCTCTACATTATTGTCCCGCATTTGATTTGGGGGGTGCCTGAAACCCAAAGAATTTATCTGAAGGCTGTCATAACAAGGATCGAAGTCCATCAAGGGTTCCATATACTCTGGCCACTTCATCTTGACAATGCCCACCAGCCCCACAGTCTGCAGCAATGTCATGGCCATCCCAAAAGCGATGGCGGTGCTCAACAATGTGGAGGCCTGGTGAAGGCTGACTCACCGGCCGGCACGGGGGCCTACAGGCAGTGAAAATCGGAAAACACTTTTTTTGGACCTCATTACATTTCTTTTGGACCTGGACACTTTTACTGGACCTTGCTACATTTTTTTTGCAGATGGCTACCCTTCTTTTGGACCTGCACACCCTCCTTCTGGACCTCATCCTTCCCTCCTGCTCGACCTGGCCCAAACCATACCCTTTTCGGATAGATTCTACAGTTTCTGTCCAGCTGGGAGCCTTGAACTCCAACCTGTGTGACAGGAATGACAGCTACCCTGGCTGCTGTGCCTGGACGGTAGGGGGCTAGAGCCGCGCTAGCAGCGTCTGCTTCGCAATCCCCAGGATGGGTCATTGGTGAGTTTGTTGCTGCTTGCGAGGGGTATAGCCAGTCTGGGAGCCTTGACCGCGCTAGCAGCTAGCATGCAACATGGCAGGAAGCCTTTCCTGTACACGGTCTGCTCTGAAACCATGCCCCCAGCCGTGTCTTGATCGCAATTCTTCAGACACAGTTCTTGCATTCATCTTCTTGCATTCCAGCCGTCTCTACATGTCCATACGTCCTGTGACCGGATACTAACCAACGAGGTTACATTGATTTCGATGTCGACTCATGTGGCACCCTCAGCTGCAACCATTGCGCCCAGGAGCATCCCTCGCCGGTACGTTTACACATCTGTCCATGACGGTCTTCGTTGCCTGCAGCCGATGTAGGTTCAATGTCTAGGCTTCACCCGTCAACTCTCAGCAACTTATTGCGCTCATCTTGTTCTAATATCTAACTTTCTCTTCCCCCAATGTGCCTTTCAACTTCCTGCATCCAGTTGGTTTCATATGTAGGTTTCCCCCCGTTGGCCTCTCCACAACTTCTTACCTTTATGCTGTTTCAATATCCGAATTTCTCCTGCGCCCCTGTGCCTCTCAGCAACTTCCTGCATGCATTTGGTTTCAATATCTCGGCTTCCCCTGTCTCTCAACAACTTCTTGCGCTCATCTGGTTTCAATATCTCATTTTCCCCCCTGTGCCTCTCTTCAAACTTCTTTAACTTCCTGCATTCATTGGGCTTCAATATCTATACTCTCCAGGGAGTGCAGCGCCCATATCCTTGTGACACATTGGGTTTCCCACCTCCTTCCCATTCTGCCCTCTTCTTCTCAATTTCTACTCTTCACACCTCTGTGCCCCACTTGGGAGCATTCACCTGGCTTCAATATCTAAACTTCCCCCCCTTGTGCCTCTCACCAATTTCCTGCATTCATTCGCTTGCTCTCAAGACTTCACCTCTGGCCTCTTAACAACTTTTTGCATGCATCTCAACTTGGTTTCAATGTCTCTGCTTCCCCCCTTTGTCTCTCAAAAACTTCTTGCGCTCATCTGGTTTCAATATCTAACTTCCCCCCTGTGCCTCTCATCAAACTTCCTAAACTTCCTGCATTCGCTGGGTTTCAATATCTATACTTCCCCCGCAGCCTCCCCATAACTTCTTGCGTTCATTTTGTTTTAATATCTAAGCTTCCTCCCCGGTGCCCCACAACAACTTCCTGCATTCATCTTGCTTCAATATTCCCGGTGCCCCTGAGCAACTTCCTGCATTCATTTGGTTTTATATCTGGTTCCACAGTGGCCTCCTAAAGTTCCCCCCCCACCTGTGCCTCTCCACAGCTTCCCGCATTCATGCGGTTTCAATATCTCAGCTTCCCCTCGTCTCTCCACAGCTTCTTGCATGCACCGTCATTTGGGTGCAATATCTAGACTTCTGCTTCTCGTCTCAGCAACTTCTTGCGATCATCCTTGTTTCGATGTCTAACTTTCCCCTCTCCCACCTGCCTCTTTCTCACCAATTTTCTACGGGCACCTGGCTTCAATATCTACATGTTCCCCCGTTTCTCTGAACACCTTCTTGCATGCATCTAGTCTCAATATCTAAATTCCCCCCACCCTCTTCTGGCATTCATTTTCGGGTCCCAAAAATTCCCCCTGCGTCTCTCAGCATTTTTTTGCGTGTATCTTAATGTATCTTCATTTCGTTTCAATGTCTAGGCTTCACCCCTCATCTATCAACAACTTTTTGCGCTCATCCTGTTCTAATATCGAGCTTTCCCTTTCCCCTATGTGCCCGTCAATTTCCTGCATCCATTGCGCTTCATACGTAGACCTTTTTTTTATTGGCCTCCCCACCACTTCTTACGTTTTTATTGTTTCAATACCGGAATTTCCCCGGCATCAACAACTTCTTGCATGCATCTGGTCTCAGTATCTAAATTCCCCCCACCCTGTGCCAGGTCAAAAAAACGTGCACGGGATCCAGCCCAATGTGAGCGCCTATAACAATGGAGTTCCCCTCCCACCCTATGGAGGCAAGGTCCAGGAAGCAGGTGCACGGGTCCAAACTAGACGACGGATGGCCCGAGAGCGTAGAGGAGCAGAGTCTTCTTCTGCTGTTAGTATGGCGACACTATATTACAAGACAATATATCAAAGATGTATTACAGGCAGACGAGAAGAGTAGTATCAAGACAATATTATATGGCATCGTATCTTTTGCATCGTATCTTTCAAAAAGTTTTTCACGCACAGAACTTTTTACAGACAGACACTTTTGCACACAGACGCTTTTACACACAGACGCTTTTACACACACACAAACACTTTTACACACAAACACTTTTGCACACAGACGCTTTTACACACAGAAGCTTTTACACACAGACGTTTTTACACACAGACGCTTTTACACTGAGGCTTTTACACACAGACGCTTTTCCACACAGAGACTTTTACACACAGAGACGTTTACACCCAGAAGCTTTTACACACAGACGCTTTTACACACAAACACTTTTGCACACAGACGCTTTTACACACAGAGGGTTTTACACACAGACGCTTTTACACACAGACCCTTTTACACACAAACACTTTTACACACAGAGACTTTTACACACAGACGCTTTTACACACAGAAGCTTTTACACACAGACGCTTTTACACACAGACGCTTTTACACACAGACGCTTTTACACACAAACACTTTTACACGCAAACACTTTTACACACAGAGACGTTTACACCCAGAAGCTTTTACACACAGACGCTTTTACACACAAACACTTTTGCACACAGACGCTTTTACACACAGAGGGTTTTACACACAGACGCTTTTACACACAGACCCTTTTACACACAAACGCTTTTACACACAGAGACTTTTACACACAAACACTTTTACACACAGAAGCTTTTACACACAGACGCTTTTACACACAGACGCTTTTACACACAGACGCTTTTACACACAAACACTTTTACACACAGACGCTTTTACACACAGAGGGTTGTAGACACAGACGCTTTTACACACAGAAGCTTTTACACACAGACGCTTTTACACACAGACGCTTTTACACACAGACGCTTTTACACACAGAGGGTTTTACACACAGACGCTTTTACACACAGAGGGTTTTACACACAGACGCTTTTACACAGAGACCCTTTTACACACAAACACTTTTACACACAGAGACTTTTACACACAGACGCTTTTACACACAGAAGCTTTTACACACAGACGCTTTTACACACAGACGCTTTTACACACAGACGCTTTTACACACAAACACTTTTACACGCTAACACTTTTACACACAGAGACGTTTACACCCAGAAGCTTTTACACACAGACGCTTTTACACACAAACACTTTTGCACACAGAGACTTTTACACACAGACATACACAGACGCTTTTACACACAGACGCTTTTACACACAGAGACTTTTACACACAAACACTTTTACACACAAACACTTTTACACACAGAAGCTTTTACACACAGACGCTATTACACACAGACGCTTTTACACACAAAAGTTTACACACAAACAGTTTTACACACAAACACTTTTACACAGAGACGCTTTTACAGACAGAAGCTTTTACACACAGACGCTATTACACACAGACGCTTTTACACACAGACGCTTTTACACACAGACGCTTTTACACACATCGCAATTTTACTTCAGTTTTTGGCGATCCAACCTCATTTCGTGCGAAAGGGACGTGCGAAAGGGTCGCGTGGGACAAGTTGAAATCGCAATTTTACCTTAGTTTTTGCCGATCCAACCTCATTTCGTGCGAAAGGGTTCACCGGAAACACGAAATCGCAATTTTACCTCAGTTTTTGACGATCGAATTTCATTTCGTGCGAAAGGGTTGCGCCGGACAAGTTGAAATCGCAATTTTACATCAGTTTTTGGCGATCGAACCTCATTTCGTGCGAAAGGGTTGCGCCGGACAAGTTGAAATCGCAATTTTACACCAGTTTTTGACGATCGAACCTCATTTCGTGCGAAAGGGTTGCGCGGGACAAGTTGAAATCGCAATTTTACTCCAGTTTTTGACGATCGAACCTCATTTCGTGCGAAAGGGTTGCGCGGGACAAGTTGAAATCGCAATTTTACATCAGTTTTTGACGATCGAACCTCATTTCGTGCGAAAGGGTTGCGCCGGACGACTTGAAATCGCAATTTTACATCAGTTTTTGGCGATCGAACCTCATTTCGTGCAAAAGGGTTGCGCGGGACAAGTTGAAATCGCAATATTACCTCAGTTTTTGACGATCGAACCTCATTTCGTGCGAAAGGGTTGCGCCGGACGACTTGAAATCGCAATTTTACATCAGTTTTTGGCGATCGAACCTCATTTCGTGCGAAAGGGTTGCGCGGGACAAGTTGAAATCGCAATTTTACATCAGTTTTTGGCGATCGAACCTCTTTTCGTGCGAAAGGGTTGCGTTTCGTGCCGTCTCGTTGGCACTGCCCCTGCTCCCGCCTTCAAGAGAGAAATAGAAAAGAAGGAGAGGGCAAGAGGGCAAGAGGGCAAGAGGAGAAGGTGTGAGATGAGATGTAAAGATGAGAAGATGTGAGAAGATGTGAGAAGATGTGAGAAGATGTGAGAAGATGTGAGAAGATGTGAGAAGATGTGAGAAGATGTGAGAAGATGTGAGAAAATGTGAGAAGATGTGAGAAGATGTGAGAAGATGTGAGAAGATGTGAGAAGATGTGAGAAGATGAGAAGATGTGAGAAGATGTGAGAAGATGTGAGAAGATGTGAGAAGATGTGAGAAGATGTGAGAAGATGTGAGAAGATGTGAGAAGATGTGAGAAGATGTGAAGATGAGAAGAGGTGAGAAGATGTGAGAAGATGTGAGAAGATGTGAGAAGATGTGAGAAGATGTGAGAAGATGTGAGAAGATGTGAGAAGATGTGAAGATGAGGAGAAGATGGGAGGATGAGAAGATGGGAGGATGAGAAGATGTGAAGATGAGAAGATGTGAAGATGAGAAGATGTGAAGATGTGAAGATGTGAAGATGAGAAGATGTGAAGATGAGAGGATGTGAAGATGAGAGGATGTGAAGATGAGAGGATGTGAAGATGAGAAGATGTGAAGATGAGAAGATGTGAAGATGAGAAGATGTGAAGATGAGAGGATGTGAAGATGAGAAGATGCTTTACAGACCCCCACTATTGGAAGAACCCTGCGCTCAGACGCTCTCGGGAAAAACAGGAAACCGAGCTCAGAAACAATTAATTTGGCTGTCGAAAAATCCGCCCACACCGCTTTGGCGGTGAAGGCGTGCTTATTGGGGGGCAAAACAGCAACACTAAATGCTCAATGACATTTGTTAATATAGCAGTCGCTATATCAGCTTTAGCTGGGGGGGGGGGCAAAAACGGTTTCGCACCGAGACCAGAATACGGTGGGGTTTTCGACATTTTTCGAGGATTTTTGGGTGTCTGAGCGCAAGAGGGTATTGAAATGGAATTTTGGGTCATTTTGGTAGCTTTCCGGCAATGGAAAAAGGGCCAAAAATGAAAAAAACATTGTACATAGCAAGATTTTGCAGGGTTTTTGGATGCCAGAGCATTGAAAACACTGCAAAAACAAGTGTTTTGGACTGACGTTATAGCAAAAAACGTGTAAATTACCGTATGCTTGACTGGAAACATTACAAAAAACACTGTCAAAAGCAATGTTTTGGAAGGATCTACTGCCTTTATGGCAAAAAACGTGTAAATTACCGTCTGTTTGACTGGAAACATTGGAAAAACACTGTCAAAAACAATGTTTTGGAAGGATTTCTTATATATATATATGTTGGAGTTGGCTACCGGCATTGGCACATGGAAAAATTGAAGAAAACACTGTAAATAGCGGTATTTTCAACGGTTGGGGAGATAAGGGAATTGGAAGCATTGTTGAACATGATGTTTTCGACCGGTTTTATGGCGACAAAAGTGTAAAGTACCGTGCTTTGAAGGAAACCATTGCAAAAACATGGAAACACATTCAAAGAACACGGGATTTGGGGGACTATCTAGGCGTCGTTGTCTAGCTATTTGAAATTCCGCAGCTTGGAGAGCCTCCAAGGGAGGGAAAAGTGAAAAATTCCATAGCTTGGGAAGCTGTCACGGCGGGGAAAAGTGAAAATTCCCTAGCTTGGGAAGCCCCCACGGGGGGGAAAAGTGAAAATTCCCTAGCTTGGGGAGCCCCCACGGGGGGGAAAAGTGAAAATTCCCTAGCTTGGGGAGCCCCCCACGGGGGGGAAAAGTGAAAATTCCCTAGCTTGGGGAGCCCCCACGGGGGGGAAAAGTGAAAATTCCCTAGCTTGGGGAGCCCCCACGGGGGGAAAAGTGAAAATTCCCTAGCTTGGGGAGCCTCCACGGGGGGTGAAAGTGAAAATTCTTAGCTTGGGGAGCCCCCACGGGGGAAAACCACCCTTAGCCCCTCTCACGGACCGAAATAAACCTGCGGTGTGGGCGGCCACCCCACGCGAAGCGGGGTGAATATTCCCCTGGGTCCAGCACAAATACATGCAGGTCCAAAAAAAATATCCCCACTGGGTCCAGAAAACGCACAAGCAAGTCCCCTGCATTTTTTGTGACCCTAGGTCCCAAAAAAAATCTGGTTAGGTCCAAAAAACATGTACAGGTCCAAAAAAAGGTGCCCAGGTCCAAAAAACATGCATCCCGTGAAAATCTCTCATCTACGAACCAATGCTGGGGTGAATTGGGATCCACATGGACCAACTTTCAACTTTGAACCAATGGCCAGCTAGTTTCAGAACTTCAAAACATCTGCGGTTTTGTTAAAGGCCCGCTTCTCTTCAAAGTCGTTCCCTTCCTTTCTCGAGTTTGTCACCTGTTTTGGGGGTGGTTGTCTCCACGACAAAGGGTTCAAGACCATGCGCTTCAAACCGTTTATGGAAAACACTCGTTTTGCGGTGGCACAGTGTTGCTATGTGCTGCATGCTGCTCTTGATATACCGGGGCCCATCCCAAGCCTTAGAGGTCATTGGAGAATTCATGAAGTAGTAGAAGAATGGCACTCCAGCGAGCATCATCACCATAAAGGTCGTCGAGAACAGCGAGAAGTCCAAAAAAACACAAGGTTCCTGGGCGCAAAAAACAAAGAAAACTCTGAAACTTTGCACTTGGGCTGAAACATGCTTAGAAGAGGTTTTTTCTCAAAGTTCTTCCTCTTGGCCTGCCCCCGTCTAAAAAAGAATCAATTGCGAAACTGCGAATTTCATTGAACATATACTAGTAATCGTGGGCAAAAAAGTTTGTTGGCACTCAGTTTTACCAATGCATGTCAGTGCGATGTAGGTACCCACCTTGTAAACTCAGAACTGGCTGTGCCGGTCATCTGCTCCGCAGTTGCAACTGCAGTTGCTGTTTCTCCTCTTGATCCGTTTCCGATTTTTCACGTATTCACCTGACTTGACACGTTTCTTGATTGATTCCCCTAATGAACACTGACATGTTTACACACATATATATATATATATACATATACACACGTCATTAAATGCGAAATGACAATAGCAATCATACACATAAAAAACGATAATATATAGATAACATATAGTTGCCCATCACTATTTCATGTTATACGTTTCTCCTGCCTGCCAATTTTTTCAAAAAGATCTGATCCTCAAATGTTTTTCCTTGCGTTGGGCCAACATCGGATTGTGAAACTCGGCGAACGGATTGTGAAACTTGGAGGACGGATTGTGCAACTTGGATTGTGAAACTTGGAGGTTGGATTGTAAACTCGCAGGACGGACTGTGAAACTGGCATTGTCAAACTTCAACTTCGTTTTGTGAAACTGTGAAGTGAGACCGTGAAACTCTGCAACCGGATTACGAAACTCTGGGGGGAATTGTGAAACTGGTATTGCGAAACCCTGAAGACAGATCATGAAACTTCGAAACTCCAAGTTTCAATCCAAGTTCCGAGTGTCAAAAATCCGACCTCCAAGTTTCACAATCCAACGTTTAAAACTCCTTACCACTCATCATGCTGCCCTTGTGAACATTCCAGGTCAATTTGAAGTTCCATCGGGGACCACCTTACTGTCGACATTCCAAGTCAATTTGAAGTTTCATGGGGGTGGGAATTTTCATATCATCTTACCCTTGTGGACAACCCGTGTCAATTTGAAGTTCCACTGGGGTGGGAATTTTGATATCATCTTACCCTTTGTGCACACTACGTCTCAATTTGAAGTTGGGTGGGGATAGGAATTTTATACCATCTTACCCTTCTGGACATTCCAATTCGATTTGAAGTTCCATTTTTTTGAAAATTTTGATATCATCTTACTGCCGACGTTCCACGTCAATTTGAAGTCCCATGGGGGTGGGAATTTTGATATCATCTTACTGTCGACAATCCAAGCCAATTTGGAGCTCAATGCGGGTGGAAACTTTGATATCATCTTGCTGTCGACATTCCAAGTCAATTTGAAGTTCCACGGGGGTGGGCATTTTGATATCATCTTACTGTCGACACCCCAAGTCAATTTGAAGTTCCATGGGGTGGAAATTTTGATATCATCTTAGTCATCCTACTGTCGACATTCCAAGTCAATTTGAAGCTCCATAGGGGTGGGAATTTTAAGGAATTTTCATATCATCTTACCCTTGTGGACAACCCGTGTCAATTTGAAGTTCCATGGGGGTTGGAATTGTTTGGGGGAACTGTAGCTGCAGAGTTGCGCAATCCGGCGACCGGAGTTGCGCAAGCAGAGTTGAACAATCCTGGGAATCGCGCAATCTGTCAAAAGCCGTTGCGCAATCAGAGTTGCGCAATCCTGCAAGTTGCGCCATCGGAGTTGCGCAATCCGGCGAAAGAGTTGCGCAACCGTAGTTGCGCAATCCGGGGAAGTTTCGGAATCGGACTTGATTCAAATCGCGATCTCGAATCAACACGACGCCGGCGCCCTGGCAA